TCCAACCATACATCAACCGGGGCCAACGGCCTTCTAGGTCTGGATTTCGTATATTACGTGTATATATAGCGAGTTCGACTTTTCAACACACTAATGTGGTTTCGTCACTCGCGCGAACTGCCGTCCGCTGTGATATACATTCTTTTACCTGTAGTTGGATAGAATTTTATTCTTGAATAGTTGCAAAAAGTCCTCAATTAGAATATTCCAATAATAGTTGAAATTATTTGCTTCAATTCATTTTATTAGTTGTCATCGATATTACGGAACAGACTATTTTTCCAAATATTCATGATTAAAATTGATTCTTTTCGGATTTTTTATTAAAAAGTTTATGCAACTTTTAAATAAATAATATTTGTTTTGTTCAATTTTACTTTTCCGCACACACCTAGTGTGAAAGGGGAAAGTATTGCAATAGGCCAAAATTTACGAAACCTCAAAAACATGTTTTCTGGACGTTTCTGAGGTCAGAGAACCCGAATCAGGCCATTTTGAGCATGGTTGTTGTGGGTCGCTTCCACGTCGTACGTTGTCCGCCGTACGCAAAATTTGTCCATCGATTATCTCACCCCCCAGAAAAGTTATTTAAAATCTGACTGTACAGGATGATTGGGGGTCCCGATGCCATGCCTGTATGCACGTGAAACTTTGCACAGACTATTTTTTACACAAAAAAATAACATTCTGAAAGTTTGAAGAGATTTCAATCAAAATTAGGGGTACCTCTCATACAAAATTTTCAAAAACGAATATTTTGTATGGGAGGTGCTCTTAATTTTGGTTGAAATTTCTCCAAACCCTCCGAATGTTAGTTTTTTGTGAAAAAAATAATCTGTACAAAGTTTCACGCCATTAAGGTAGCATACAGACATGGCTCCCATACAAAAATCCAAATTTTTTGTGACTTTAGTTATGGAAAGTTTTTCAAAAATAATTTTCATGGCAAAATTAACGTCAGACATATTTTTATAGCGCTTTGTTAGAAAATAGAATACTTTCAAATGTCGTACAAATGGGTTCATCATGAAAGTGTGAAAAATCTTTTCTCGAGTACTTCTGCTATTAAATTAAAGAATATTTCGATGCCAAGGTTTGAATATATTTTTTGGTCTCGAACTTTACGACGCTTGAAAGGCTTGAAAAATCGAACAAATATTATTTTGAACTTTTTTAATAAAATACGCAACTACCACCGTGCGGAAAAGTTCGTCTTACTCCCGTAAGTCTCTTTATTTTCTTATAAGTTATGTTTTCAATACCAAAATTCACAAAATATAATCTACTTTCAATTTTACTAATAAAATAATCATTTTATTTTCATACTTTTCCTACGAACAACGAACGAACAAACGAACGAACGAACGAACACCTTACGAACAACGAACGAACAATCCGAACATTTTAATTTCTACGAACGAACGAACGAACAAAAATTCAATGAAAATGACTACGAACGAATGAACCGTTCGTTCGTTGGTGTTCGTTGACAGCTCTGGACCATAGAAGCAGTCAAAATACGAAACAAATATATTTTATGTAGTAGATTTATATTTATTTATCAATCAATCGGATCATTGAAATAGTTTGTGTGATACAATTAAGCGCTTACATTTTTTCTCCATATTTTATCGAATTTTTAAAAATTAATTTAGTAAATCTTTTTTAATTATGTAATATCCGATGTTTCGTGAGTCGGTTCATCCCACTGAAACCGAAAAATGATAAATTCAGCCGAATATGGGAACCAAAAATGTGCATCTCTACTGCGTTTCTCATATCCTGCTGAATTTATCTTCGTTTTCAACTATCTCGTGGATACTTATATCGATATAAGAACTATGGAAGTAGTCTTATGGATAAGGTTTCATTCACTTTGTCAGGTCGTTCTCAGGTTTTTCTCAAATGGTACATTGTGAAAATGTGTGTAAATGGTTTTCAAAATCAATTAAGTTACATTAACATCGTCCAAAACCACACATTTTGCATGGTTCATTTAAATTATTGTTAAACTAAGGAATTCATTTGTAAAATACACTTTAAATGTAAACCGCGGAAATCAAAAAATTGACATTTTCCCACTTCTATCATCCTTCCCCAATCGAAGTTTACGAACCTGTAATGATTTTGATTAAACATTAAACTTCATTGAGATGCTTATTATTAAAGTTTGTGCTCAAATTACCTCGATCGTTATCTCTTTGTCGCGAGCAACACACAGCCCAATGGAACGAGTTTGGCAAAATGTTGAGTGAGCGCGAGTTAAGAAACCGTTTGGTTTCATGAACAGTAAAATGTTTTAAGATTGAAATAAAACAAGTGAGACAGCTGCAGAGTGACATTGTGTGGCTTTATTGTTCCTCGTACAAAACTGAACTAAAGGCTTTGTGCCGCTGTTGATAATTTATATGTGCGAAATGTACAATAGTTCTTATCGGTGATAAAGTAGTATAATAATTGAATTCGATATTTTTCATTAAAAACCATTCGTTATTGGTGCAATAATTGGAGTAATTGGATTTTTAAACGTTTCAGCAAATCAAGTGCAAATAATTCATTTCTATTTTTTAGAAGAAATATTCACAAACACTTTCTGGGTAACATCGATGTGAAATATCTAAACGAACAAAGGGGCCAATGTGAATGCCGAAAATTCTCACAAATATACAGCATATTTGTTTATATTTAATTTCAGTATTCACATTGGCACCTTGTTCGATTAGGACCTTAAATTACCATTTCATTTCTTTGAGCGGTTTTTCGACCATTTTTATCAACATTTCCATTTGGCCTGAAAAGACATTCAAACAAAAGGAACTAATTAATATTTCTGTTGTTAAATTTTACTACTTCATAGCATAAATATTTTGAAATAAGGAAATATTCTTATTTATTGCAGATACACAATTTATAAAACATTTCACATCAAAATGCATCAATATTTTTTTCGATTTTTTTTTGCATAGAAATATTGTTGAAATTTTGAAAAATTGATCGCTTCTATACGACTCAGAAAGTATGAAAAATGGGATTCTTTTTAATTCAAAAAAGTGTTCAATTACCTTTGATGGCAGGCCAGTGCGAAAATGAAACTCCATTGTAAATATTTCTTCTTAATTTGGAAAAGTTTACAATTACCGCTCGATGCAACCTCATGAAGTGTTTCGTTGTCTGTAGTTTTATAATGTTGTAATACACTGGCTTCTTTTTCGATTAGATGTTTGGCTTTGATACAGTCAAATATCTAATCGAAAAAAGAGACAACGTCTGAAAAACCAATGTCAAAGCTTTAACCTGCAGGAAAGGAAAGAAAATTAATGAGATCAAACCTTACTGAGAATTTTTCATTATAAATAGAATTAATTTAAAAAAATGTTTAATTACCCTTTTAATTGGTGTTTCTTCGATGAGATATTTGGCAGCTTCAGTATCACCTAAAGGATAAAAAAAGTGATTAGATTAATTACTTTTGAAGATATTTCTGTTTAACTAAAAAATATGTTGAACTATATCATTCGCAGCGGAATATTTATGTACCGACAAAGAACCACATAAATTGTATGAATATTTGCACTTTTGTTAGTAAAAAAGTTAAATTTTGATAATGAAGAAATTGATGAGTACGCTGTGCGTGTGTGCCTGAACTCTGAAGTGAAATCACGTGGATCAGTATTTTACAGCAAAAGTTAGGTGTCTCTATCTCCTCATTAACGGCGAAATTCTAGTGAATTTCAACACAAATGAACGACGGACCTCAAAGAAAATCTCAAAACTATCTATAAATGTGATAAATATGACTACAGGGGGAGGAAAAATTTTTAAGCCTAGAATATAAAGAGAAGTGTTTTCAAATCATTCTTGTGCTGTAATTGAAGTATGAACTGTCAACAGTATTTTCACAAAAAATTTGGTTCATATCTCTCTTCATTAGTTAAGTTCAACATTTGGCATTTAGTCATTTTGATATTTTTTGAAAAACTGAAAAATTCCAAAATCATGTTGAGATTAGGTATCTTACAAAAGATGGTATAGCATCAAACGATTTCAATCACTTCTTGCGTGTAGTTTATGGTGACCCTCCTCCATCGTATACCTTAGTCAAACAATAAGAAAACCCTATAAGCTTTTATATATTCGTTCATACAGGTTTATACCCGATATTGACTTATTCATCTTCATCACATTTACGACATAAATCTGTCGTTTGTAGCCGTGAATAAGACGTATATTCCAAAGTGTACACACACAGTACATCTACACAGATACGAAGAAAATCCGCACAAAAAGAAATGAAAAAAATTGCCATAGAAATATACACGAAATATTCACAAAATATATGCAATTAATTATACACGAATGTTCGAGAAAGAATGTGAGACTTCTCTTGACCATGAGAATTTATTGAAATGTAACATTGACATATAGCAAAAATGTCACAATTCTCACTTTTGTTCTCGGGCAATCACATATTTAAATACTTATTTATTTGCGCGTATTGCGTATCATTTATCATTAACCGTGTGCAAAAAAGTGACTGGCTCTTTTTGGGACACACTCACTTTTTTCTACAAGGGAATTATGTTTCACTATTTGACCGACTTTCTCAAACTGAGCTCCTTAATTCGAGCAAATATTTTCCGTAATTTATATAATGAAAATTTAAAATAATCTGACGCAGCGGCTTAAATTAGCACTTCGTCCAAATTCGAGCTTGCACAAACTGTGAAACACAAAAATAATAAAACCGACAAAATTATCGCTTTGAATATCAGCAGAAGAAACGTACATTATCAATTATTTTCAAAATAAAAATGTCTAAATATACTCACAACAACTTTTATTGATGATAATAAATCAGAAATGTGGCAAAATGTTTAAATTGAAGTACCAATATAAATGCTGCCGATCGCAGTGGAGTGAACGAAACTTCTGAATTTCAGCTTATATCTAGGCGTGATTTCGTTTGAATGACGAAGGCAATGACCTTTCTAATTTATTCATAGATTCGTTTATCTATGTGTACATCGCATGTTGCGATGTATGCGCGTTTCAAAATTGTGAACTACTCTTTTGTCAAAAGACTTTTTGACAACAATACCCGCAGAATGTGATGATGTTAGTTTAATGATGTCATTGGATAGACGAATACTAGTTTAAATGTATTGTGTACCGAACTATGTGTATATACGACTGTACGAATGCTTCGCCACATACTGCGCGGTGCACAACATATTCAAACTTGTATCATGAATTGAAGATCTGAAATTAGATTCTGAATTTATTACACGTCTGAAATATTGCCTGGAAAGTCACATGATCTTTAATTTTTTTTACATGTATGTGCGATAGACACAAGAGCGACGCACACATTGAGGATACAACCGCACACATGTTCTGCTGTTAGATTATAATAGAATGAGTATTTGTGAAAAGTCTACTCTTTGCGCGCGCACTACCAAAGTGGTTTTTGGACCGCGAGAGCGATATTTGAATAAAAAAGCCGATTTGATTGCTGAATAGATCAAGCATACAAATGAAGCATTGACAAACTCTGCTTTTTTTTCATTTGCTCGAACTAGCACAGAAAATCATAATGGAAACTAGCAAATATCACATTATATGCAAATGAACGCCTTATTGACTAGCAAATATGTTTAAGAAAATGGAATCATGTTAATTCTCGATTTATATCACATATACAAATTCTTCTCATAAACCTCTTATTTTTTTAAACAAATACTCAGTAAATGTCAAAACAAATGTATCATGAAATTAAATTAGTCCGACTAGCCAAAAAATATTTACTTTCTTTGGATGTTTTAAGTTGATAAACTGCACTGTGTCAATATTCAAAATAATGTGTTTGTTAATGTGCAATTTCCACGGAACTAAGGTGAAATAAAGAAGAATTCTTCCCTTTGGACGAACAGGTAACCAGTTTTTTATGGCTTTACTTATGAGGGATAACCACATATGCGGTTTGAAGGGCAATTAAATTTTTACAATATTTTCTTTTGCAAGAACATGAATGAAATTCATTCATCAACTTTTCATTCATGTTCTTGCAAAAGAAAATATTGTAAAAATTAATTGCTCTTCAAACCACATATGTGGTTATCCCTCATATGTAAAGCCATAAAAAAATGGTTACCTGTTCGTCAAAAGGGAAGAATTCATCTGAAATTGCACATTAGCAAACACAACATTTGAATATTGAATACACAATTGAAGTTTATCAACTTAAAACTAAGAAATGCTTTGTACTTATATAAACATTTTTGACTAGCCAAACTAATTTAATTGAAATTCATTCATGAACATTTCATTCATGGGTTCACGCAAAAGAAAATATTGTAAAAGTTTAATGGCTCTTTTAACTTTTTAAGCCACAAAATGTGTTTACCTGTTGATCGAAAGAGAAGAGTTTAAGTGACTTATGTTACGGAAAAAAAAGATCACAGAACAACCTCGTAACCGACCGAAAAATTCCCAGCTTTGGTGTGCCACTTTGATTACCGTCAAATTCCGCTGAATTTTGCGTTCATTGAAAATATGAACCCTTTTTTAAGCAAAGTATTTTTAATTCTTTTTGGTTTGATCGTTTTCTTCGTTTTAACATTCATTCATTGAATTGCTTTTGAAATGCATTTGTATTTTAGTTTGGCTTGTTCATGCGCCGGCTTTTAAATATTTTCCTGCGAATTTGTACTGACGTACACAAAATATTGTTCTTTTCGTATGCGTACTGGCTGTTACATTTTTCTCTTTTTTCTCACTTTTTTTCTTCTTTTTCTGTATCTCTCTATTTTTTTCGTTCTTTTTGTTGCCAGTAATTAAGTTCGGCTTCTGTATTACTTATGTATTTATATCGATCAAGTACTTACACTTTGCATACATTGTTCTCGATTTTTTCTTGCGAAGACATAAGCCTTTGAATGGGAGAAAATGGGAAGGACTTAGGACATTGTCGAATTACATAGTATGTACGAACATTTTGTCATATTTTACCGATATGGAATTGAAAACTGATGCTCTATTTATTTGTGGAAATGGTGTTTGCAATTCAGTTTGTGGTTGCACGTTGAAGAACGATGACATTGAATTGATACAAGCATTTTCACTTAAAAATTCTTTTAACTTTGCGATTTTTACAAGTTATTTTTTCAAACTATTGATTCTCGTGTTGCAAAATAAATACGATTATTTTTGAGTATTCTGGATAAAAAAACAAGAAAAGAGTTTTTTTAACGTAATTTGAGAGAAACGTATTGAAGGACCATTCTATAGTAAACAAAGAGGCGAAGAAAAAAATCATCATGCAATCATCACAGATCGAGACAATATCCAAGCCGAAAGGTGTTTATAGTATCGATCAAATATTGGGAATACACGACGGCCAAAATAATAACACAATGGGTAAGTTGACTATGTGGTGTAGCGGAGAATGAAGAGAATTTTCGTTTTTTTTTTTCAATCAATTCTGAAAATTAACTTTTTTGAATGATTTTTCCTTTCAGATCATGAAATCGAGTTGGACATTGAAAATGACGACGACTATTCATTGACGGGCGATTTGGATGTGGTTGATCATGACCCAAACGACATGAGCCGACCACGTAAAATAAGACGGTAATTATCAATAACAGTGATTAATTGATGCTCTTTTGTTATAAACAGTAAAATAATTTGATTTTATTTTATATTTGAAGTCGATCGAGAACAACATTCTCCACCTTTCAATTAAATCAGCTGGAACGAGCATTTGAAAAAATACAATATCCCGATGTTTTCACACGCGAAGAATTGGCTCTTCGATTGGAATTGACCGAGGCTCGTGTTCAGGTACAGTACATTTTTATTATTCTTATGTTATTAAATCGCGTCTTTAAAAAGCAAGCCAAAAAGTTTGACGATAAGAAGAAAGATTGACATTTTTTTTTGTGCCAATGCCGATTTTGACTGCTGCCGATGAATACAATTAAAGTAATAATAATTTTTTCCTCTTTTGTAACAGGTGTGGTTTCAAAACCGTCGTGCTAAATTTCGCAAGAATGAAAAAGACGTGGGCTGTGATACATCATATATGCATGCTGGACATAATAGATTACCTGAATTTCCATTATCAATTCCACATAATAATTCTACATTGCGTAATATTGCCGCAACCGCTACACATTCGACCGAATTTTGGCCGCAACACTTCCCATTGCATTCGACATTCGGGCCATCGATGTTGCATCCGAATCTATTGCCATCATATGGAATGCATTATAATCCCAACATCAATGCATATCTTACACCATGGAATTTAATAATCTGAACATTTCATTCACTTTCAACTTTATCTTCACAGAAGGAACCGTTATTATTTGCAATTTAATTATATACCATGTAAAATACAATTACCAACTCCATTATATATGTAAACACGTAAATCTAGGAAGCAAAACTAAAAAAAATCAACAAATTACTTGACTGGCTTTTTCTTTACTAGATACAATTCTTCTTTTCTTTAGAAAAACAAAATTAATACAAACTTTTTTTAACACAGTCGGCATTACGTGCAACTCACACATTAAGTTACTTAACTACTCAAAACGTTAAAATATTTGTTCATCGTTATATGGTCTTTCAGTCTCATTTGTCGAGTTTAGATGTGAATATTTTTGTTGTTTTCACATATGAAAACGACACGCATGCCATTCGCTATCGCATGACGAGCGATAACCGACAAGAACTTCATCAAATGTTCATACGACTGTAATACATGTTTGGTGACTCAACAAACATCTCTGGATGCTATGATAGCGTTGCTTTCAATGGTGTTTTTTTGTTTAAAATATGATCTGCCGAAATTCACTTATTTTGAATAAATATTAAGTTTGCTGTGAAGTTTAGAATGTAGTTATTTCAGTAATTATAATTTGCGCGTTCAAGACAGTGGGGTTTTGAGTGGCGTATTGCTTACTCTGATTTTCGTGATATTCAAGTTAATTTTATTTCGTGCAAATTTTCGTTCAATTTTCGCTGCATTATTACAAAGTAATTTGAAGCACACAAATCGTCAAATAATATTCTTCCACCAGAGATTGAGCTCACTTCACATTCGTAATTTGAAAGGTAATTTTTATTATCAGTGTTTTGTTTAGTTCTCTGATCAAAATCAATATTTGCTATTATTATTTGATAAAAGAAAAATGTTTGGAAAACAGAGTATTGGTCAGCGCTGCTGCCATCCAGAGCATATTTAAATATCTTGCTGAGAATGCGTCGTCCGTCGCATGCGAAGGTACGTAGCAGTTTATACATCACAGCGAACAACAATACATACATTGTTCTCTATTCAATCGTTTGAATGTTTTGAGTCACATAATCGTGAAGAGAACAATTGATTCATTCTTGTTCGCTGTGATGTATAAACTGCTACGTACGTTCGCATGCGACGGACGACGCATTCTCAGCAAGATATTTTAATATGCTGTGGATGGCAGCAGCGCTGAGCAATACTCTGTTGGAAAATAAAAAGAAATTGTATACTAGAGCTTTTGAATATGAACATAGTAAATTGTGTCACCATAACTTCTTTCAATCCTTAGACAGTGCGCTATTTTTTTACAAGAATTTTTTCCCATTTTTATTTTAAAAAAAAACAATTTTTTTTTTGTGTAATCAACAGACCAACAAAACAATCGCAATGAGCCAAGTACAAAACGGGGACCAAAGTGAACCAATTGATTTAAGTGTCAAGAAAATGAAGCGAAATAACGAAGTGAATAATCCATCCAAACGTGCTAGGATTGTTGCAAACGAGCAGCATCAATCGGGTGATATTTTCAAACTGGTCATCGATTGCTTCGAAGAAGTGTTTGACTTTTTATCACTGCAGGATCTGGTGGCCATGGGTCAAACATGTAAACGAATGCAACGAATTGCTGGTCATTGTTTTCAACAAAACTATAGAGCCCAACCAGTTTTTTTTTGTGTTCATACATTTTTGATGATCGATGAAGATGCCAATTTGGAATGTTTTTATTATTTACTACAAAACATAGAAGTTGATATTCATAACATTTTTGACGAAGATGAGGACCTATATATTAGTACGCAGAATTTTATAACTTCCTTGAAACATTTACAATCGATAAAAAAAATCACAATTGGTAATATTTCCTTAACAATGGCTCAAATTGATGAAATGAGATTAATTCGCAGTAAAATTGAAAGCGTCAAATTTGAAAAAAACGATTTTAATGAAAAACTTTTTAATGCTTTGCTTGCACCCGGTTCTAATGTGAAACATTTATCACTGCGCGAAAGTTTTTCAAATGAACATCAATGGATGTATGGAATCTATCCAAAATTGGAATACTTTGAATTGACATCATGCGTTTACGAAGAAGTTCCCGCATTAAAAACATTCTTTGAGCTAAACACAACAATTAAACATTTTTCCATTGATATGGGACTGTTGTGGTCAAACAGAGCATTTTTCATAAATTCAAATATAAAATTTGATACCTTGCGGATTATTCATCGTCGTGATGTTGAATTTGATTCATTTTGCCGTTTGCTCAATGAATTCCATGAATGTGGATTTTATAAAAAATTGCGTTTTGGATACATGTATGACATTGAACAAGAAACTATCAATCAATTGGCATCAGTAAAAGGTTTAGTGATGTTCGGTGTCGATTTGAAAGGACACAATATCAATATAAGCTCATTAATAAACTTGGAAGAATTGTGTGTCAGCGGAAGATATGATAGTAATTTCATCATGGATTGTACGTCACTTCGAGATAAGTTCTTGAAACTGAAACGCATTGACTTTTACGGAGTCAGTTTTGACAATCTCATACCATTTATTTTCTTTGCAAAGAATGTAAACAAAATTAATGTGCAAAACCTTCGAAGCGGATCACATTTCGAGGAAACTGATGGAGTACTCGACTTATTGACGTTGAATAAAGAGCGTAAGAAATTATTTGCAGCACAAAAGATCACGATTTACGCGGAAGAACATGTTTACTTGGCCACGAAATGGGCAATGAAACAGACGGACTTCAAATTGATCGAAATGAAACGAATCACATCATATGATTGGAGACAAGATGGTTTTGATCCTTAATTAGGTTGAAATATTTTATTCGAAATTTAATATAAAATTTACTTTAATTTTTCACATGTGGTTTTTTAAAAATAAAGTTAATAAATTGAATTAACATAATCCTGAAATTCTTTCTTTTACTCATACATTAAATTACTTCCCACAAACGTTGATGCGATAACACTTATCAAGTTGAGATCGACTTTCCGAATTTTTTCGTTTCAAAAACTGGTTGTAAATGGTTGATTTTTTAATGAAACTCTGCTTTGAATTATTGCAGCGATTGGACTGACGCTATAAATATATATTAGCAAATATTTCCCAGCGAATATAAATAGGCTTGTATCGCCTACACACTGTACTCAATGCGTTTCTCCTTAGTTTGATGGCTCTGTGTATGTTGAGCTGTATGAGCGTGCTCGTTGGACACATGCAAACGAAGTGGAAGCGTTATCGATAATGTGATTTTTTTCGTCAACAAGTGTTTGTCTTCATTTGAAAAACCCAGCTTTATTTTGACGAAAATTCAAGCAGACAACGTACGAATGTGTTGAGTAAGATCACGTATGAAAACAACCTTTAAGAGAAAAACAACATGACTAACCGAAAAATGGTCTGATTACTGGAAACACTTTTTTTGTTGTTTCCTTTCAAAACAAAAACTCTAGCCGAAAATTCAAGTACTTTGTTTGTTCCAAGAATTTGAATTTGTGTTATCTCATTTTATTCACATCGACTCACATATTTCATTATCAATCTTATCAATTGTTTCTGTATTACGTGGCTCAGCACAAATATAAAAAGGATGGATCGTCCGAGAATGTACCGATATCAAACAACAACTAGCAGTGGGAACGATAATAACAAGCGAAATAAATCAACTAAAGAAATAAAATTAAGAATTTAATTCCCGAAAATATTTTCTGCTGAAATCGTTCAATAGTGTTTTGGCAAAATAAAGAGGTAAGCTAGTGAAATAAGAGTGGTTAGTATGTGATATAATAAGCAAGCATTCAGAAAGAGATACATCAACACAAATTACAACACACTACAAAACATCGAATGATGCTTTGTATTGATGTATTATCTCTTTCTGAATGCTTGATAACAAGTCAAAAATGTTTGAATTTGAAATTCAAAGTCTAAATTTATAAGATGGTCACCGAATGACCTTGCAGAGAGCGACAAGATTGGATGACTCGGATGTCTCCAAATAGAAAGTGAATGTAAATTAGCAAATCAAGGCAAACTAATAGCGAATAAAGTTAACCAAATAGGGAAAAAGATGGGATAACTATTGATGGTATAAATGAGAGCTTGAGTCGATTAATCAGTCTGTGATCAGACGGTGGATAAATAAATAATCAGTTCAGTTTTCGAGCTCTCAGCCCATGCACTAGCATATCTGATGACTACTCGAGCAGTTTAGGCATACGAAGGGAATTTGTAAGTGACATACCTTTTACATGAGTTTGGCATAGAGTCGATTCTAACCCAATCATTTGAACACTGGTGACACACACTACACAAAGCCATCGACATGTTACTTATTTTCTTGTATGAATGTAACTAAATAATAAGTAATCAGTAATATTTCCATCACAAATGGTTAGTTTTTTTCAAAAGTATTTTTAATCATAAATAAAATGTCTTACATCCGTAAGATGAACTTTTCCGCACTGTGATCCACAACGTGCATTTATTACGTATCTTTCACCGTGAATATGAATTCATGAGAAAACTGAATCTGATATAATATAATACTTAAGTTTTGCGATACAAATAATTTTTGAACGACTTTTCAATGCCTGTATGATATCGTAATCATGTGAAAATTTGCAGATGTTATTTTTCTCACATAAAGCTAACATTCTGAAAGTTTGAAGAAATTTCAATACAATCAAGTGGTACGTTCCATACAAAATTTTAATTTTTGAGCAAAAAATCCAAAATTTTGTTCGGGAGGTACCCCTAATTTGCATTGAAATCTCTTCAAACTTTCGGAATGTTTTTTTTTGTGTGAAAAAAATAACCTGTGCAAAGTTTCAGCTCATTACGATATGAGAGAGGCATGACTTTCATACAAAAATCAAAAATTGTTGAAATTTTTGTATGAAAAGTGTGTTGAAATATATTTGTATCGCAAAACTAACGTCATATTCGGTTTTTTCGTACCCAAAAACCCCCCAATACATATTTTTGAGTGTTTAGGAATACATTAAATATCACTTTTGGAAGTAAAAATTGAATTTTTCCTATCGACATGCGTTATTCAAAATTCCAAAAGCAAATATTTTTCGGAATTCGACTGGAATATTTTGAACTCCGCAATTGCAATCATCATTCATAGACGTGACATATACGCATAACGTACACTGTATATTGCGAATATCACCTGTTTCTACGCAAACTGTGTAAATAACATTTCAATGATTGACGTGTTGATTAAAATTTTTAAAAATATAATTTTTTTAATGACACGTGTTACTTTTATTGTGTACACGTAGATTTTCCATATTTTTGGAGTCGAATAATCCCTTCATGTTCACTCTTTCTCTTTCCATATGCGTAGTCCATATATTATAAAAAAACTCCAAATTATATATTATATTAGAATGTTGAGTGACACTCTCCATATGAAATGATCTCTTAATATCATAATAAATGAATTGGCTGACTTAGCCTATCTTAGTAGTAGGTACTAGGTGTACTTCAATTACTCGTGCTCTGTTTATTGTTTACGACGATTTCTTTTGACGCATACATTTAGTTTGCAAAAGTTTAATTCCAAACACATCTTTTTTAATAACGTGTCAACGTGTGTAGAATGAGTTGATATCAACATATGGTCCTATAATACCCAACATTTTAAAATAGAAGAATGTACTATTACAAGCGATTACAAGAAATCTACTTATAAGCTTCTGTAAGCTTCACTACTTACTATTCCATTGAAAAACTCAATTGTAATCCAATTGTCTCCTAATATTTATTGTATTTGAGTTGTACCTACATCAATAGGTCAAAAATGAATTATGTAAAAAAAAGCAGCTTTGTAGACTCAAATTATAAGTTTTTTTATTCTGACCCAATCAATAAAGAAATAAATGGTTTTTGAATAATTTAGGCCCATTGAAATGGAAAATTTGTTGTCGATTTGTAAGTGACGTTTATGGGCTCATTAAAAATGTGGCCCACACACTACGTGCACTTTCGTATGTTGAAAAAACAGCTGCAGCTTTGTTAAGGTGCTTCAAGATGTTTTCCTGCAGTGGAACATAATCATCGAAAGAATTTTCGAAGTCTCGACGCATCTTTTCTGTTTGCTGTTCAAAAGTTGGCGCTAGCCAAGCCACTTGATTCATGTGCCTTATAAAATCGTTAGACATTTCGATATGGTCCCTGCTCATCTGGCTGATTCTAGTATTGACAACCGCCTTCAACTGGTCTTGAGTGACTTTCTTTTTTAGCCATTTGTCAAACATTGTTTTGGTTTCTTCTCCGAGCGATTGTGATGCTCTTAATTTAACTGAAATATTTTCTTCAATATTTGTTAGTAAATCGTTCAATTTTCTTTGATTACTCAAAGCACCTCTATAGTCTTCGCCATTGAAAGCTGCGTATAAATCTATCTTTTTGTTAGTTTTGTTAAGAAAATCTATATTATAAGGAATACTAGTGGCACTTGTATCGACGAATGTGAATAGAACCAAAAGTTCTGAGTACCAATCAAAGTCTTCATAGTCTTTGAAACATTCATTTCGACCTCTTCCTGCCTTTGATAGGGTGTCATATGCTTTTGAACTAAACGTCTTACATAATTCCTCGTAAGTGTGCCCAGCAGCACCTTTAATGGTGACCTGTCGAAATTAAATAAAAAATTGTATGATTATTAAAGTGACACAAAAATTACGAGAAATTGTCTTGAAACAGCCAGAGCATGAAATCGTTACTTATTGAGGTTTTTAAATTTTCGAATAATAAAAAGAAAGTTACCTGGTCAAACACCAATATCGAGAAAAGTGCCAAAAATATGAATTGCTTCATTTTTCCAGTTGTGAATAAAGTAGTTGGATTCAAACTAAATTCGCAGTGTGTCTGATATGAATTGATGCAGCTCTATTTATACGAAACATTTAATAGTTTCAAAAACACGTCAATACATATCGACATGTTATCCAAATAGTTAAAAACAAAATTTTTCAGAAATTTGACTGGAATTTTTTGAATGTTGAAATTTGCACCTGTCAAATACACATGAATATATTGCGAATGCCACCTGTTTCTACGCACAATGTGCGTCAATAAATATAAATAAATTATAACATGTCAATAACTAAAAAATAATAATGATTTTTTGTTAAACGATATGTGTTTTTCAATGTGTCACTGTACACGTAGATTTTCCTTATCTTTGGAATATTAGTGTCGATTATCATATAGTTTACATTGAATATATTACATTTTGAGAAGAGTCGAATAATCCCTTCATTTTCTTAAAACCCTTGTGGAAATATTTCGACTTCATAGCCGACTATAAGTTGAGATTCTCAACTCAAATTAAATGAAGACGCATATATATTATGAGTCAATATAATATAATATAGGGTGATGTGGACCACTCCTAATTTACGTACGTAATGATGACAGATCCTGTCAAAAGTGGCTGTTATCAGTTGCTATTGACAGTACCTCGTTTTCTATGAAATATTCACGAGGTAACACGCACATTTTGTTGCTCTACGATAATCAAGTGAAAATACAGTTTCCAAAAGTTTTTCCAAGCTATCATATAAATCGTGTTTTTGTGAAATTTTTTCGACATATTTGAAGGTAAATATATTCATAGTATTGGTTTTTTGTTCATATATTATAATCCAAAGAGATTTTGTTATTTCGTCATGTAGTGTTTGTGTTGCATCAGTCCGCGTAAAATTGCATCATTCGGGTGATGTGGACCAATTTTTGTCGGGTGATGTGGACCACAGTATTAACGCTTTTATACGTTACTTTATCTCCATTTCATTAAAATCTCTAAAATAAGTGTCATTCTTAAGGTAATTTTTGATGCTCTGTCGATTATCATCATTATTTTTTGTAGTATTTTCCTAAATTTTCGTAAATTTTGTATGGAGACCCCCCATAGAGGTGATGGGAGGGGGTGGCCAATGGGAAAAATGAAATGTGCGCATCAAATTAGCTATAGTTGATCATACATTTTGGTGCAAAATTCCAGACCGAAAAAGTGAAAAATCGACTTTGTAGGATTTTACCCCAAATCGGTTCCAAAGTTTTTCAATGGAATAGTAAGCAATGAAGCTTACAGAAGCTTTTAAGTAGATTTCTTGTAATCGCTTGTAATAGTACATTCTTCTATTTT